CGGCATTAAATGAATGATACACGTGAAGCTCATGCTACATAATGCGTCTGAATAAACACTATTCTCACCACGGTTATTGCCAAGTTCAGCAACTGTCTGTCCCGGACGCGGTGGAAGTGGTCAGCCCTTCATGGGGCTGGTTTTGAGGATGGTGGTCGCATCCTGGCATTTTCTCAACGCGCCTCCTTCCAGAGAACAGCAGAGGCACTGCGTGTAATTAGTGACGGGAAATGGTCTTTAGAAATACAGGTGGGGTATTACGTCATGTCACGGACGAGTTTATGGGAATCTGAACCCGAGTCAGATCCAAGCACAGCTTTGAAGGTGGGGTCATCTCTAATGGGCACCACATTGATTAAAGGAACCCCAATTAGCACACGCGGACGCACGGACGCGCAGCACGCGGACACGCAGACATGCGGCAGGCCCGCCCTGCAGGGATGGGGAGCAGTAAAGGGTTTGGGAGACCAGTCGCCCTTTGAGATGGGAAGGCTGCAGGCTGCCCCCCTTACTGCCCCCCACTTCTGAGGATTTGTAGTCACCGTGCCCAGTGACGTCTGAGCTCAGGCACCGGGGTGTTTATTACCCAACTGACCTCATTCCTGCAGCAGAGGGGACTCTGGTCACGGCCTCCCCCCAGCAGCGTGGCGATGGGTACCGCGGCCTCAGTGGCCTAAGTCACTGCTTGTACGCAGAGATGAGGACTGGCTCCGGCCGGTCAGCGGGGTGTACTCAATGCAACACCCAGGAGCCGGATGCCAACGTGTCGCATTCACTGAGTTAACACCATGGTTGCCCCGTCAGTGGGCACTGCTGTGGCATTTATAGGCGGGGATCATTAAAGATAGACGTTTTTCCCCAAATGATCTTAGTGTGACTCGTCCAGCATTTAGTTGTAGAATAAACTTCACTTCGTTACCTTTCCAATCACACTGCAGTCCTCCGGCTGCCTGACTCCCAGCTCAGATGGATCATAAGGTGGGAAGTTTCTGTGAAGAAGAAATAAGCTCGCGAGGGCCCTGGGGCCTGAGGTGAACATGGGAGTTGCTCAAAGGACGTGATCCAATGGGGGGAGGGGGGGTTCGCAGGAAAATTGTGCCCAACGGGGCACTTGGTTGCTACGGGCCTTACATTGTCACTCTGAGGGGTAGGAATACAGATATTTAAAACAAAAAAAGCAAATGTGCAACTAATACTTAGGAATAACGCAGGACGCTAGCGAAAAACTAAGTCTGCAGCAATTGAAACAAGTCAGCCCCAGCAAACCTTCAATAAGAGGCGATTTGGCAACACATAGAGCGATACTGTCATTCTTTCCCTCTAATATTTTTGATGCATTAGATAGATATTCAGCATCTGGGCCCAATAAAATCTGCATTTATGACAAAAGTCTTATCAGAAGAAATAGCAACCTCATCTCAGTAAAGACGCATCGGCACGATCACGGCCTCGCGCAGCCTGTGGCCTGTGTGATTGTCCGAATTCTCCAGCGCAGAAGCCGTCTTCACTGCGGCTCCGTGGCTGGGCGACACTTGTGCAGTGACTTTTAAACAGGTGCTGACCTTGACCCCAATGTTCAGTTTATGTCTTTCACAATGGCTGTGGGAGGCATGCTTTTCTCTTTGTGTTTTCACATCGAATCTATGATGGTTGCAAAAAGCAGTGACTTCTGAGTGCTTTGTGACTATTCTCTTTTTTAAAATACAAATGAGTCCATGTATCATTAGAGTTAATAAGGCAGTTAGCTGTAAGGTGTTTTTTATTGCTGTTGTTGTATATTTTTATTGATTTCAGAGAAGAAGGGACAGGGAGAGAGAGAATCATCAGTGATGAGAGACTCACTGATCAGCTGCCTCCTGTACGGCCCACACTGGGGATCGAGCCCACAGCCCAAGCATGTACCCTTGACCGGAATTGAACCCGGGACCCTTCAGTCCGCAGGCCAACACTCTATCCACTGAGCCACACCAGCCAGGGCTGACTACTATGCCACTTTTGCATTGATTGGACCTTCTAAGTGAGCAAGGCTTTCTTATTTCTGGTAATAATATATGTTGTTACCATAGACACTGATTATAATGACGGGGTAGACACAATTGTTTTTCAAAGCCAATTTCAATGATGGAGCTGATATAATAATCTTTTAACTCTTAACAGAAACATGTCCTTTAGCTCCTTATAGAAACACCAGTAGATGGTCTATGGTGAATAGTCTTTAGATAGGACTTTGTCTATGGAGTTAGTTTTTTTTAACTTTTATTCCAAAGAGTAGCACAGTGCAAACATCATCTGTCATTTCCACATCATGCTCATACCGTGCACACGCCTCTTTTTTTAAAATATTTTATTGATTTTTTACAGAGAGGAAGGGAGAGGGATAGAGAGCTAGAAACATCGATGAGAGAGAAACATCGATCAGCTGCCTCCTGCACACCCCCACTGGGGATGTGCCCGCAACCAAGGCACATGCCCTTGACCGGAATCAAACCTGGGACCCTTCAGTCCACAGGCCGACACTCTATCCACTAAACCAAACCGGTCAGGGCAGTGCACACACCTCTTACAGTTACTGCACCTCACGCCCCACATCTGTAAAATAAGGGTGTGACCAAGGGGTTTTTGCCATCTATACTCCTGTTGTTGACATTACTACTAAGCACAGTTTCTTTAGAAAATAAAGACAAACACCTTAAAAAGAAGTCTTTTTGGATGAAGATAAATGGCTGAGAAATCTTATTGTGACGACAAACTATTACAGAATATATAGGCTTTTACAGTTTTTTATTTTACCTTGAAACATTTCTTAAACGCTGAGTACCTGTTGCTATTGGTAGTCTGATGATCTGATTGGCCGCCTATAAAATCAGTAAAGAAAATGCTACAATTTCAAGCCAATTATCCGTCCCCAGCTTTGCCTACAGCACAATGCCATGGAAATGCTATTCATCCTGTTCGCTGAAGAGCCGCGAGGATTTAAGTCCATGACTCACAATGACTGGGATTAACGAACTTTTGTTTTCGAGCCGTTTTCTTTGCTCCTGTGAATTGCCATTTGTTGCTAAAAATAACAAAAGTGAGCCTGTGGCCCGAGGAGCTGGCGTGCACAGCGCTGAGCAGTCAGGCTGCGGCTCCGGCTCTCATCACCTGGGTGAATTTCTTTGAATTTAAATAAAGACTCTGCCATTTAAGACGGAATAATTTGCAACAACATGGGTGAACCCGGAGAACATTATGCCGAGGGAATAAGCCAGATTCAGACAGACAAATACTTCATGTCACTCAAGTGTGACACCTAAAACCCCAAACCCAGGGACAGAGAAGGGAAGGACGACCGCGGCTGGAGGCTGCGGGGATGGGAGGACGCCGGGCAGAGGCACACGCGTGCAGCTGTGAGATGACTGCGTCCTGCAGAGCCTCACGGTCACGCCGACTAAGGACACATTGTGCACGCGAACGTGGCGAAGAGAGCAAACCTCGAGTGTGCTGGCCAGAAGGAAGTCAGGCAATGGACGTACTTGTGAGCTGGAGTGTGGAGTTATTTCACAGTATATATGCATGTTACCCTCTCACATTGGGACCTAAGTATGTGCAATGTTTATGTGTCAGTCGCATCTCAATAAAGCTGTAAAAAGCTCCCCATCTCGCCCTGGCTGATTGGCTCAGTAACTACTGTCGACCTGTGGACTGAAGGGTCCTGGGTTCGATCCCGGTCAAGGGCACGTGCTTGGGTGGCAGGCTCCATCCCCAGTAGGGGGTGTGCAGGAGGCAGCTGATCCATGATTCTCTCTCATCACTGATGCTTCTCTCTCTCCCCGTCTCCCTTCTCTGAAATCAATAGATATTAGAAAAGAACACCCTCCTTCACAGGCAATGGCTGGCAGGAGCACTCCTGGCCTCACCAACTTGTGTCTGCTCGTCCCTTCCTCCCTCCCTTACATCCGCTTTCGGTCACGTTGTCTTGTCACTTTTGCCCACGATTCCCGTTCTTTCCTCTAACACTTCAATCAAACGTGTCCCTTCCTGAATCAGAGAACAGAATTCCTTTCCGACCCGTCTGCCTCCTTGGACCTTGGACGCGCGCCCTCTCTCAGTTACGGGAAATGACAGACACTCAGCGCCCGCGGAACACTCTTTGTTGGGACAGACAGACTCTGCGTGTCTAAACCAGTTCCCTCTCTCATTCTGTCGAGTGGGCGTCTGCGTTTGGACACATGCCCGTGTGTTCTTATTTGATTGTGAATCATGGGAGGGAGGCCCCTGGCAAGGCAGTCACCTGTGAAATGTGTGTCAATCCTCCTTCGTCTGATATTAGAAGGAACGTACCCCATTGCCGGGGTCCAACCCCAGCAGGTCCAGGGGTCCCCAAAGGTGTGGACGGAGTCGGCGAAGAAGGAATGACATGGAGACAGCGTTCAGTTGATCAGCAGCCTAGGCAGGATCTCTAGCCAAGTTCTAGTCAGGATCTCCAGCGAAGTTCTGGTTAGGATCTCCAGCCAGGTTCTGTGGCCATGTTCTCTTGCTAGGTTCTCCAGGCAGGTTCAGTCGCCAGGTTCTGTCCAGGTTCTCTAGCCACGTTCTCTTGCTAGGTTCTTCAGCCAGGTTCTGTAGCCAGCATCTCCAGCCATTCTGCTGGGGAAGGGGTTAAGAGGTTTTATTCCCTCCCTAACTTCAGGGGAAAATCCCTACCTGGGGAAACAACCTTTCTCGGAGAGGTGACCTTGGTTAGAACACATAGTGCCAAGAAGGGGAGCAAACATATTAAGAACAGTATGCCATATACGCCAGGTCCCTTGAAACAGCAAGGATGGACCGGCTCCCGGCACCCCATCTTAGGGGCCTGCGAGGCTTTTGAGAATTGAATCTAACAGCAGGAGGAAGGAAGAGAAAGCGCTTTTTGCAGGAGCTGATACAGGCTTCCACCGGATGTTTCAGCTTGAGCGTCGGTCAGCCAGGGCCACGGACGCTGTGGAGACACGGTTCTAAGCACGTCCCTGGCGGGTCTACGCCCGGAGCCTCTGCAGGAAGAGACCTGAGCCTCCCAAGTCCCCGTGAGAAGGCGGAGAAAGTGGGGGGCAGGGGTGCTCGGCAACGTGCTGTCCCTCCAGACGGACGGACGCTGGAAACGGTCGGGAGGAAGCAGTGTGCCGGCTCCTCACCCGCAGCCGAGGGCTCCCGGGAATTGACCAAACCTTCGCCCTTCATCTAAAACCCAGCTTCTGGGGAGTTTCATGAACGCCTGTTATTCACACGATGTGCCTATAGCACAGGCCTTGGCACGTGCAGACCCCTCTAGACCTAAGGAAAACCCGTGTCTGCTCGCCCTCGTGTGTGCGATTCTTGGCTGCCGTGACGTTGCTTTTCTGTTTTTAAGCCCTAACGCTGTCCGTGTTTGACGTGTGCGACCTGATGCATCTGCACATACGTGTCCATCGTGAAGCCTTCCCCACAGTCGGTGTCACGAACATATTCACGCCTTCAAGGGTCTCCGCCTTCCCCTTCACCACGAGGGCGACGGCACGTCTCAGGTCTGCCCTCTGAGCAGATGCTGAGCGACAGCGCGACACTGGTGACGGCAGCGCTGCCCACGCAGACCCACAGGGTTTACGCAGGTGTCACGGCTGACACGCGGACGGAGACCTGACTTCCCCGCCTCCCAGCCCCGACCCCCTGCTCCTCTGTCTCCGTGAGTCCGAGCCGCCAGCCGCCCCTCAGGTGCCCACGCGGTGTTCGCCCTTCGTGTCTGGCTCGTTTCACGTACATGATGCCCTCCAGGCTCACCCATGTGCCACCAGTGGTGGGATTCCTTTCTTGATGTAATTTTCCTTTATCCTCTCCCGAGGGTGCCTTTTTCCACTGAGAGTGGAAAAGAGGTTGGAGGGGGAGGGGGGAGAGAGAGAGAGAGAGAGAGAGAGAAGCATCGACGTGAGAGAGACACATGGACTGGTTGCCTCCCACGTGCACCCCGACTGGGGCTGGGGATCAAACCTGCAGCCCAGGTACATGCCTGTGAGCGGGAATCGAACCCATGACCCTCCCATGGGAGGGCCAACACTCTAACACTGAGACGCCGGCCAGGGCACGAGTTCCTTCCGTGTAAAGGCTGGACAACCTCCCGCTGTGTGTGCAGCCCCTGTTCTCCGTCCCTGTCCCCGGCTGAGGGACCTGCAGCTGCTGCTGTGTCCAGCTCATCGTCAGTGATGCTCCCCAGACGTGACAGCAGAGGGCGCCGTTCCCGTGCGGAGTGGGAGGTGCTGGGCCTGCTGCCTCCCACGGGCACCGGGCGCCCTTTCCTCCGGCCTCACATGCCTGTTCGCTGCCCCATTGGTGACAGCCGCCCGGCAGGGCAGCCGCAGGTCCATCGGCTTGTCCTTGGCCGTCCTGCAGTCCGCGGTGAGCATGCTACGGACACCGTGTGCCCTGGCTGAGCCAGGTTAGCAGGACCTCCGCTCGCCGAGTGGGAGCCACGGGGGCTGTGACGTGAGGGAAGGAGCCGCTTCGAGACGAGGGGAAGCCGGGGACCTGGAGAGGCTCCCGGGGGCGAGCTCTGTCGCAAAGGCGTCTGAGGGCGAGTCTTGCATCGTTAGGGGTCCCCAGACCTACGGGTAGACGGGCCTTCAGCGCTTCCTTTAACAGGCAGCATCGGAATAGAATCTAACATTTCAGTCATTTCACGTATTTGTTTCCAGAAAGAGTGGGATGGGGAGAGACAGACAGACATGGACCGGCCGCTCCCACAAGCGCCCAAGGGTGGGGCCCCTGAGTCCCCGGGGAGGTTCTAACCACTGAGTGAGAGAGAGAGAGAGAGAACCAGGCTCTGAATTTTATTTTGATTTTTTGTGATTCTCACTCTTGGTTGCCTCTCACACAAGCCCTGACTGGGGGCCAGGGATCAAACCCACAACCAAGGTAGGTGCCTTTGACCGGGATTGAACCGGAGACCCTTCGGTCCGAGGACTAACGCTCCAACCATTGAGCCACCGGGCCAGGGCGGGAGAAGCAGGCTGTGAGGTGAGACACGCGTCTCCGTGGGTCCGCAAATGGCCAGCCCCACCCTCCGCACCGAGTGGCGGGGCCCTGGGTCAGGGGCTGTGGCTCTTCTGCTCTCAGAGCTGCTCCGGGGCAGTTTCGGGGCTCACGCACAACGAAGGAGAGTGAACTCCCCGCAGGTCCGTGCCGGCCTCTCAGCCCCTGTGAGCACCTTCCCCTCGGGCCCCGCGGAGCCCGCACTGCTGAGGCACCACCATGGGGTCCCCTTCTCCTGCGATGCCTCCACCCCACGTCCGTGTCTGTGAGGGGGAGGAGCTACGTCTTTTCAGCTTCCTGCACCCCAGGCTGCAAAGTGACAGCTCCCACAGCGACACGCAGTGAGTGTTTGCTGGCGACCCACCCCAGACGGCTCCGCGTTTACAACAAATTAAACCGCATGAAACCCACGGCGGGTCAGACAGGGTCAGCTGCTTCCATTAGAAAACAGTTCCGCTGAAAATCAAACCCCTCGTTCAGTCCCCAGACCAGTCCCGCCAAGTGCACGATTCTATCCAGTTACAGAAACGCAAAACCTCCCTGAGCTCAGACCCGCGTGGCTCTCACGGCTCCGATTCCTCCAGCGACCTGGCCTCCCATCTTCCCTGACACGTATTTTCCCAAAGGCCCTGTGTGTCCAGGCCCACCTGGCGGCTCCTCCCGAAGGACCTCACTCACCACCCACCAGGCCCACCGACCGCGGTGTCCTGTGGACGGAGACGCAGCTTCTGCACCAACAGTGACCTTCCCCTGCTTCCCACGCGGCTCCGGGCCGGTGGCTTGTGTTCCCCCCGAGGCACACGAGGCCTGGCCCCGTCACTGCCCTTGTTGCCACCCACGTGGGGACAGCGGGAGCTGCCAGCGTGGCCGGAGGCAGGGAGTCCCGTCTCACCGGCTCCGTAGTCGGAGCTCCAGGCATATGATTCCCAGGAAGCCGAACAGCATCCCCGAAGCCACAGGGGACCAGCACCGAGGAGGGGACGTGGTCTCCCCTCCCCTCCCTGCTTCCCGCCCGCAAACACCAATGACACAGGGGACAAGGGAGACACCACACGCGCCCCCCCCCCGCCCCCCACGGCGGTGGAGGTGCACTTCCTCTCCCTAAACGCAGCGCCTGCACAAACAACAAGCAGCCGCAGATCATCGCAGACAGCGTTTATTTCAATGCCGCGTCCACGCGAGACCGTGATGGTGGCGGGACAGCGCCCGGGAGGAGAGGGAGAGCCTCAGGAGTGGCCGAGCTCTGGCTCCCAGGCCGGCAGAGAAGGCCCCGGGGGTTGGGCCCCAGGAAGCGGGGTTCAGGAGGCTGCGAGGAGGGTCCAGCCGAGGCC